AGGAATCCTCCTCATCGTCAACTGTGCTTTTACGATCGGTAAGTACATAGCGTTAGCCTTTAGACATTAACTTTATTTCTTTGTTTCTAAACGTGAAGTTTCGTATTGTTTGCAATGATCAAGTTTGGTACGGGAGTCACGTCCTTTGTCAGTTTTGAATAATAATTAGTTAACCGATCGGTCAAGATAAATCAATGTTTACAACCTCGAGAGAGTTCAATAGTCCGCAGTTTTACTTATTCATGAAGTTTTCCAATGCCCTATTGCCGACAAATTTTCTGGCTTCGTAATCAAGAAGTATTTATTATGAGAACAACATTATCTTGCAATTGAGGAGCAGTATTGTAAACAACTTCCTCATGTCGAGCTTCAATATCCTCTCTCTGATATTGATTTTCCTCTCCTTTGATTATGTTTCAGTGCTCTCACGCTGTCACGTTTCACTGCTTTTAATTTCATTCTCAAATACTTTTCTAGATTGTAAAAGTTAAGTTTCACTGGCTTGTTAAATACGTCTTTTGTTGCATATAAATGAAGTGAACAATACTGGTGAGAAACTCGGAGAGTTGAAGATTCGAGCAGCATTTATATTTAAAATGGCAAAGGTGAAATTCGATTCCGGCTAACGGTGGAAGAAGCTGGAAGAGAAATCTGCCATGACATGCGAACTCGCGGGAAAAGCCGAAGAAAATAAAGTATAAACGGTCCCAGAAATTGATGCGTTTTTAAAGGAAATTTATGGAGCAGTTTTCAATTGAGTGTCGTAAACCCAAAACCAAAGTATTTGCCTGATTACTTTAGACACTCAATTGAAAACCGCTCTAAGACAGTTTGACTACTCAGCCAAACTCAAAACGTAGTAAAACTAAAAGCAAAACCAATGCAATTGCCTGATTACTTTCAACACTCAAGTGAAAACCGCTCTACGTGCATTACAATAACTTAGTTAGGGTCACGACATTAAAAGTTTATGCAGATCATTTTAACAAAATGTACTCGATGTTATTTTTTCTAATTTCATTCCTTTTTCTGACACTTATCTTTTAATATTATGGCATTTACGTTAGTTCTTTGAGCTAAGCGAAGAGGGGCAAAAGTTCTGCTTTGATCGCTATGAAAGCTTTTACACGTCGCAAAACACTTCAACCGTGAATGACAACCTTTCCAGAATTATCAATCAACTGGAGAGAAACTTAGATTGCGTGTTGATTAAAACTGATCATTTCTGAAACTGAAGATTGTTTGCAACACGAATAAGAATACTACGGGCTCTCTCAAACTCGATGACTTGTAAGCTTTTTGTTTCGATATGTCTCTTAACATTTCGGTAAGGCATGAAAAGATTCTTAGTTTAACTGTTGCCCCGAGTTGTATCGAAGGCGATCCCGTATTATTTTGATAATAGGCAGCCTAACTAAAGCAACGGCAACGAGAACATCACTAAACAAAAGGATTAATGAGCAAAAGAACAGCTGTGCACAGCGACATTCACAAGTAATCTGCTCAATAGCCATGATTTGCCACGATTATCCGTGCAACGACAGAAAATTGAACTCACCGTGAATTGTGATTTTGTGGCTGACTTCTACTACCATCAACGGGCTGGGACTTGGTACACAATCGTTAGGCCTACACCAAGTACTACCAACACTTGCTGTTCAGTTAACCTAATCAGCCTTTGTCAATTAAATATATTTTTTCGACAATCAATTTATATTTTTTTTCAGGTCTACCGCTGGACATGGGCCTCACAAGACTAGAAATCACAGCTTCTCTCGGTCAGCCGGCAAACCTCGGTTGCTATGCCAACGTAACTAACACAACTTCCTTAACCTATTCCTGGGCAAAAGACAATTTAACTGTCACGCAATCCTCAAACATTAGAGTCTATGATAACGTACTGGTAGTAACTCCATCGAAAGAATCAGACTTTGGAATGTATGAATGTCATGTTACTGACGGCGTGACAATCACGAAATGCAATATTACGTTGTTACCGGGGTGCAATAACACTGGTGAGTAGGGCAAATATGAGTATTATATTTATGGAGACACCAAAATCGTTTTGTATCACAGTTGATAAGAACGAGGGAATTCTATTTTACCAGTTCTCCAAATGATCGTCAAGATAATGCAACGAGGAGTTTCGCTAGGAGCAGTCCTGCTCTCATTTTAAAAGAGCTCAGTCACGGCATTCTGATTTTTTTTTGGCCTTGTAATAAATAACCCGAATTGAAGGTATCTGAAAATTGTAGTTTACTAAGAAAGAAAAACACCAAAGAGACATTAATAAACATTAAAGAAGCAAGGATGGTTGAGGATGGAGAAGATTAACATGGATGACAAACGACGATCTCGACATAGACCACGAGTAGTCCCTTCACGTGGCCATTTTTCCTCGTGGTTTATTTACGGTCTCGCTCGACGGACTAAGCGAAAGGCAGACTACTCGTAGTCTAAACTCGAAAAAACTTAGGCTGAACTTTTGACATGGCTCCTTTAAGATTGAACCTTGCTATCTCGGACTTGATTATCCCGAATTTTCTTCTATCTTGAACTCAAATAATTTTTCCTTGGATAAGCTCTCTCAGTCATTCGGTTATCTATCTCGATCCTCCATCATCTCGAACTGTTAGCAGCTCGAGAGATCTCTAGATTGCGGGTGCCAGCTTTTTCATGCACATGGTAAAATCACGCAATTAGCTACGGTTATGGCAGTTGATAGTTCAATGTTTACTCATTGCATCGTAATCGCCTCTGCCCATTAAGAGTCACTTTGTATTGTCGTTGATCTTGGGTAAATTTTTGTTTTCTTTTTTTTTTTTGTATTTTATTAATTTTTGTTTTCTTGTTTCAGCTAATAAGGAAAATCCTCAAGGAAAAGTGGGATGCGCTAATATTTCAGTACTGATGCCAGTGTTGGCGATTGTCGTCGTGTCGCTTCTTTTGAATATTCATTTTTTTATTCGATGGAAAAGAAGGAACAGGATGGAGCTCTCTGAGGAGGAAATTATGCAACTGCAGGCAGCCCTGGAACCTGTTGCATTTGATGAGAGAACTGAAGAGCCAGTTGAAGTAAAGAAAAAGACACCTTTGCTTGGGCGACTTAGAAAACGTCGGAGAGGAAAGAATGAAAATGATCACCACCTTGAAGAAAACGAGAAGAATCATCCGGAAACTGTTTGTGACAGCGACTCACACGGCCGACACAGAGAAGAACCTATTGAAATGGAAGACATCCAAGACATTCCGAGTGTGGCCGACATCAAAGCCGCCGAGAAAAATGACGACACAGCGCCTGCACCTTCAGATGAAGACCGCAGACCAGCAGTACTAGAACCTCCAAGGATGGCAGATTTCTTTCAAACCGCGGACGACGAAAGCGATTTAATAGCACCTCCTTCAAATGTAGCCCAGGAACCACCTGAAGAGGACACGCTAAGGATAGCAGATTTCTTCAAAGCCAACGACGAAAGAAAAGACGATTCGGCATCTGAGTCTTCAGGCACACCTCGGAGGCCAGCGGTAGCAGAACCTCCGAGGATTGCAGATTTCTTCACAACGACTGACGAGGAAACTGACGACACAGCGCATGCTCCTCCGGATACAACCCGCAGTTCAACAGTGGTGGAGCCTCCGAGGATTGCAGATTTTTTTGTTCCTGATGACGAAACTGATGGTGAAGGTAGTGGCCGCGAAAGCATGGACTCTGAACATCCGCTTGTCAGCCATTATGTGGAGAGAATGGACTTTCAAGGAAAAGACGAAAGTGATGATGAACCGGTTCTTAAGTAATTTAAACCGGTTTGGACGCCATATTTGAGGGTGAGGAACGTCACCAAAAAGTAGTCTCCATGGCCATGTACATTTGGCTCGGCCGAGTATATCCGAGTCGTTAGTAGAATGGGGGACACTCTCCTCGCTGCTCGGAAGAAGACTGACCTCGCAAGCCACCAAGACGTTGATTGTTTTTACAGCTAATCACCGTGATTTCTTGGCCAAGATTCGGCGGATTCAAGGCCCGAAGTTTAATCGGGAAAACACGGTACCTAATTAATTTGTGCTCTAACCCGTGCCAGGCGCGCTATTTTGTAGGGAGGCAAAAATAAGGAACGGAAATTAGAAGGGGACTGGAAAGAACTCAGCGCTATATTTATGCGTTCTCCTTCAATTATTTCTCCGAAGGTCTTTCCCGTTCTGTCACAGTTAAGAGAAAAAAAAATCTCCTCAATATTTTCACAATGATGGAATAAATTATTGTATAGCTTTTCATATTTTCCAAAAATCGGCTGATTTTTGAAGATTACTTGGTACCAGTCTTCTACCCGGCCTGGTTCCAGAGGTTTTCTCTTTTCTATTTTTTAATTAAAGGAAAGTTTATATGCCTTACATCCTTTACGTCGTCAAACTTTACAATGCGCTCAGAAATTAGGCTAGGCAGGGAGCTCTTTTAAAGATCTCCCGAAATAGATATTATTGTAGTAAATTATTATATAAGGCCTAAGAGAGAGTGTCTCAAAGAGAGGTTGTTTTTCTCTCGCCTCTTTCGACTGTTTTGAAGGCTTCTTTCGCTCAGCAGAAGAAAGAAGCAAGGGGATCTCTCTGACCATCACTAAGGAAGCAATCTTCCCTCTATTTCATAGATTTTCGAGATAGAGGTACCGGAATATCGTAGCCGAAAATAGGGGGAGAGGGTTGGGGGATCTTTTGGGGCATCTTCGTCAGTTGCTATGTTTTTCCAAAAAACTTGATGGAGAAGAAGAGTTGTGTGACGCAAAGATCACAGTTTTATACATTTTGTAGGAAAACTAGGGAATAGACTATCTGGAAATGTGCCTTGTTCCTTTGTAAAGAAATGATACGCTATGGCTTTTATCAGAAATTGTAATTGGTACTTAGCCATTCGTGTGTTGTGTAGAGTTTAATACAGAAGAATTCATATGTCTGAAGAAAATAATATACCAAAACGAAGTAACGCCTAAGTCACTACAAAAAGAAAGGTCGTTGTTTTACTTGTTCCTGACCTGTTTTACAACTTGTATTCTTCAGCGGTCTGTGCTGTATAGAGTTTTGTACATGATAATCTACATACCATGACGAAAATAAGGTACAATGTACCAAAATGAATTTTTGCTCAAGTTACGACGAAAAAAGAAAGGTCGTTGTTTTAACTTGTTCCTGACCTGTTTAACAACTTGTATTCACAAACTTTGATATTTGTCCGCGGTTGTATCTAGAGTTTTTTGCGTAAGGAAGAAAATAATGTACCAAAATGGATTAATGCTTAAGTCACGGTGAAAAAAAGGTCGTCGTTTTTACTTATTCCTGACCTGTTTTACAACTTGTATTCACAAACTTTGAAATTTGTCTGCTATTGAATGGAGTTTGTAATGTAAGAAGTTACAGCCATGAAGAAAATCACGATAACGGACCAAATGACGTAATGCTTAAATCACTATATAAAAAGAGAAACGCCTTGGTTTTTACCTGTACCCAATCTGCTTTACAGCTTGTCTTTCACAAACTTTGATATTTCTAATAAAGAGATGATAGATCAAGGACATAAAGTTACTTTGTCATTTGCCATATTTTACAAAATCGTGGATACGGGGTTAAGTCATTAAGACCAGCAAACAGAATTTCATTGTTGATATCACGATTTGTAACTAACACTTCCACCAAATATTTGCCCAACTCTCTGAGTGTAACGCCACTGGGAACTAATTAAGACGGATTCCGCTCGAAGAAAGTTCGAGCAATAAGTGCAAAAATTATTTACTAAAAATCTACTCATTGCGCGGTACGTTTTGGAATACTGTCGAAAACAACTCACTTTGGTTCATTTCTTTAAGTGACCCCGCGATTAAATTCTCGAGAAAGTTAAAGTCAAACCTCGTAAGAATGCTTAAAGCGTGTGTTACTGTGTTTTAAACTAACACGAAACGTTTGTTTTAATTGAAACTTCAAGTTCAATTTTCCCTCACGGGGTCAGCTTGAGAGCGAAGGTCTCTATAAGTTCTTCCTAACTGTATTAAAAATATTACCATGCCATGAGGTTTTTTTTGATAATGTAATTGTTGCCATTGTTGCACGAATGTTCTGCGGAAATCATCTTACACCTTTTTAAGGGTGAGGTGGATGGGGAAAGGTGTGTTATGTCCACCGTCTGAACTTTAAACTTGTCATTGATATTTATGGAAACGATAACACTACAATGGCAGAGTACTCAGAATGCTGAGGGGGGAGGGGAGGTTACCCTTAACCCCTAAAAATTTCGTGATTGCAGTGAATGTTATGCACGACACATTGTATATAGCTTATAAGGTAGTGTTTTTGGACATTTCTTTGAATTGCCACGTCCATTTCTACGTAACGCGTTTCCATAGAAACCTTTTTTTAAAATTGTGTGACTTGGTTTTCTTCAACCACTTCGTCACCTGACATTCGTCGGACACGCCCATTCGCTGGTAATTCAATGGGCTGTAATTGGTGTTCTTCGTTAACAACGTTTGCGTCATGCACTCGGGTCTGTTCTTGGTTTTGTAAACTAATTTCATCACTTCTCTTGGACCTGAAGGTATCATTTCTTCGTCTTCTTCTTCTACTTTGTAACAGGAGATGAATGAACAGGAGAAGTGACAAGACCGCCACAGCCAGAACAGGCATTAATACGGAAACGTTGACACATCCAGTTTTAGAGTCATCTAAAAATCAATATTTAAATAATTAAATTTTTAATTTCAATATTCACGAAGCTATAACCCTAGTTATAAAGCTATGAACACTGGCGAGTCTGATTGGGACTGATATCAATGAACCTATTTGGTCAATGTTAAGCCTGGTTTTCATTATGACATAAGCACAAGCACAAGAATGAGCAGAACGGTAGTGAGAACCCATTTGCTTGTGTTCATGCCTGTGTTGTGGGCTTCTTCACTACCTTTACTCTTACGCTTGTGCTTATTTCGTAGTGAAAACCAGGGTTTAGTAAACAAGGTCAGACATCAAAATTCACATGAGACGAACTAAACTGCAATTAATTCAGCCGAACGAACTCAGTTGAGTCAAACGTTGAACTTATCGTGAACTTAATTCACTCAGTTTAGTTCGTCTCATATGAAGTTCGACGTTTGACCAGGACCTTAGTTATTACGCTACGTTTGATGGGATGCTCAAACAGTTTCATTTCCTATTAGTAGATTTGAAAACAAACGATTGTTACGGGTTTTTCCTAAAGTTTCATTAGAGTTTTTATGTGTTCAAATGGCATTACGACTTTGTTTTGTCCAATGGTATCAGTGATAAACTTCGAGTTTCTGTTTCGTCATCATCGATTTTGGCCTTGCAGAATTTTCGTTTATCTACACATGCCTTGCTCACAACGGAATAAAGAAAACGCTAACACGACTCTAACCCCCACCCCCTTAAAATACATCTCACGCCTCCTTCCTCGTGCATTAGACTTACCAGGTTTATCAAGTCCTTGTAACAGTGAGACTCTACACAAAATGCTAGACACGCCATTGGTAATGTTACACTGGTATGTTCCAAAATCTGCGGCTCCCTCTGGCGTTACTACTAGAACGTCTCCAAATGCCTTCACTCTTGGAGATTGCGTGACCGTCTGGTTGTCTTTTGTCCAGGAATAGGAAAGGGACGAGTTAATTAGGGTTGTCGTTGCGTGGCAACCGAGGTTTGCTGGCTGTCCAAGAAATGTGATGATTTCCTGCCGTGTTAAGTTGAGGTCGAGTTCTAGCGCCTCTGAAATGAATGAAAACAAAACGTTTTGTTCGGTCTTACAACAGCTCTTTGGATTGTTCGTACGTATTTTAAGACATCTCGTCTTGGATATATATTCCTTCGAAAAGTTCTTATAACTGTTTAAAAAACTGTAAGATTGGCACTACAAAATGTATTTCACTACATCACTAGCCTCATCAGTTGCACGCCATATTGGATTCCGTAAATGTGTTCAAATAAGAAGGCAATTACCTCACTTACACGTGAAACACAGGCTTATAAGAGCCACTGTGAGACAGGCGTGGATCTATAGTAGTTGAAGTGATTATTTCCAGAAATCACATAAATTGCTTTCTGAGAGCACTAAATTTCAAATTTTCTTCGGGGAGCATGCCCCCAAACTCCTTTAGTAAAGTTGGTCCAAATCACTCATGTAAAAGCCTGGATCCACCCCTGGAGAGATACTTCATGTGTAATATTCGGCCTATGCTTATTGGTATTACTCTTAATTCTGGCGTGTAAGTGTTAATGTGAAGGCTACTTGAGGTGAATTTTTTATGCAAAAAGGCTTGTTCTACAATGATGGCTTACGAAACACGAACTTGAAGTGTACATGACACTCAAGAGTACTGGTGCTACCATTTAAATGAAAGTTCTTGAATTGTACTTTTATGTGATACTGTATTTCCTGTACAATTCTGTACAAGTCTGTGGACGAGCCCTGATGTGCCACCATACAAACGAAATTTTTTAGCAATAGTTCTAATTCGTATACGCATTGTTTACTATAAACGATACAAAGCTTTAAGCAGGTGCAAACGTTTTCAGTCTGGGGCTCAAACCCTTGTGCCACTACTTAAATGAGAGGTTTAATTCTAATCTTGTCGTAAAGTTTTTTTTTCAATATCAAAAGATGATTTTGTACCAGTCTAAAGCACTCCTTAGAACGAAAGAGCCAATCTGAGCAAGTTATAAATGCCCTCATCATACAACACATACGTAATAGTCACGGCTGTTGAGAACCATTTTTCTGGTCGACCTTTCTTCATCTGCTTTCAACCACCTGGTACAATAGTTTTACAAAAATGAAGTGGAAGGGACTTTAAGAAACAAAACTCAATGCAATCCCAAATTGTAGTCGATATCTCGACATTTTGACGCTGATTTGCCGAAATAAAAATGTTCAGATTGTGGTTGTAAAGTATATTGTGTTTATAACTTGGGTGAAGCAAAAAAATAAAAAAAAAAAATAAAAAAAATTAAACTTATATATATTTTTGAATCCCTCACTCATAACAAGATTCTGGTTAAAAAAATAAAACCAGTTTAACCAGTAAAACCAGTAAAACCCGAGTAGAGCCATTTACGGGAATAAACGAAGGAAGCCAAAAGAAGAAATGAAGAAACTACAGTTATTTCGATATTAATTATATTAAAGTTGTATTGATTGCATTATTCAATATGACAATATGATACTTGTTTGGACAACAAGAAAACTAACTAAAACACTGAGGTTAATTATTGAGTACATTTAATGAGACACTGTGTCTGTAACTTCTCTGTAGCTTTCCTGCCTGAATATAGTGAGAGTTACTTCTGAAACTTCAGCGAGAATTTGCATTCTTGCTGTAGTGGCAAACCAATATGACGCCATAAAACGCATACAAGAGGCACTAAAAGCAGTTTTGCCATCAATATAAGCTAACATAATTAGTTTTCAAGTTTTTCTCACTTCGAAGCTTTTAGGATAATACCACCTTTCAATTTTTTATTTCTAAAATAATGAAAAACAATCATAAACTAAACTTAAACACTGTTGGTCCATTAAAACGCTCTGTATGATTCGCCCCTGTAATTAAAAAATTATGGTGTAAGTAATTTCGTGCAGATTTTTTTCTTTTTCGTAGTGGGTATTTCGAAATAATTACTTCACATAGTTATAAAGTAAATGTCTTTATTTCTTCCTTAAATATTCGTCAATTGCCCTTGGTCAACACAAAATGCTAAAACTTTTGACGTTGTGTTTTTTTGTCAACTGTACCAGCTGAAAATCGTTGTAAAGGCCAGTTCTAGATTAACACGCTAACATATTCTAACAAACAACGTACCAGCATAAACAAAATCTATCTTTGTCTTTTGGAAGACTGATGAAGTATTTACAACTAATCCATGCCTACTTACCACTCCATGCAGCAAAACTGACGGCAAAAAACACCGAAGATACCCAACAAAAACAAGTTACCATGATTATGTTCTCCTTTCTAACTAGCCAGCCAAATGTTCATTGGTAGAATATTCTTGATAAGCAACGTCATAAAGTTTGCGAATATTAATCGATATTTTTTATCAACTGGCTATCTAATTTAAATTACGGCGTGACGCGTCAAAACAGGCAGTCAGATTGCACTTAAAGCGCCTGACTAGTATCATTAAAACGTGTTTATATACAATTTACGTAGAAGGCAAATATTTTTATTCGAGGTTCAAAACCGCCGCATCATTGCGGCTTACCTGCATATCAATCTTATATTTTCTCGTCGAATTTTT